ATAAAAAAAAACAAATAAACAAATGTTTTAAAAGTTTTAAAAACTATATTAAACTAAATATATGCACAACAATCTGTCCTGGTCGATATCCTCACCATTATGATAAACAGAGTTAAAATGTCTTGTTGGTGATTGTATGGGTTTTGGCCAGATTGGGTAACAAAACATGAACACAGGAAAGTGAAGACTTGTTTAAAAAGATTTAAGACATACAGCACAATATTTCAGTAAATTTAAGTTTTTTTAAGGCCTAAATTTTTGATTTTGGAATTTAAGACATTTTAAGACATTTTAAGACCCAGCGGAAGCCCTGTTTAAACACAATAGCCCTGGTAATTAGTTATTATAATAATGTAGGTCAAACTAAGATAATATCTGTGAGAACTAGTAACAACTACAAAAACAAGTTTAAACCCATAAAGAAGTTGATAATAAAGGGAATTGTGATCAACGTGACGTATGCAAATGGAAAGTACTAAGCCAACACCATCACTGTAATAGCAGATATCTTCTATGAGAATACTGTAGGTCAAATATTGTCAGCTCAATTAAACCTTTTTAATTTTTTGTTTTTATTTATTTTATATAGCGCCAGTGCTCAAGGACACTTAACAAACAAAGAGAACAAGAAAAGCAATAACCTTAAGAAGGTAGTGAAAATAGGAGAGAATAATACATAACAAGTCTGACATAAATAAGAACAAGTGATGAAACTCATTCCTGTCTTTCAATGAGTGCTTATGTGCATTTAGGAGAACTAGGCAGCACACTCAGGGCTGCAAGATGGATTTAATTTAGTATTCTTCTTATTAAAATATATCTGAAGGAGGATCAAATGACTAAGTTGGTCTTTAAGAATGAAAACCAACCTGTTTGTTCCTGTGGATCTTCCTGTTTGACTGTGAATGTTTCTTCAATCTTCACATCTTCACTCTCCTCTTTAATAAACGCCATCTTTATAACAGTGTAGAGATCAGTCACTTCAGCAGTTTTTCTCTGCGTTTGGACACTTTATCCTGTTTAAAAAAATAAAAACATTAAAAACGTCCTGATTAAAATAAATAAAACAATGAACAGAATCAAAATAACTTCTCTTCATTACTTGCTTTAACAGTTTTATATGAGAGTCATTAACAAAAATAAATCAGGTAAGTCTGAGCAAGACACAATGAGCTGATTAAAACTAGTACTCCATTTCTTATATATAGTGATTTGTCCTTAGAATGGAATGACATTATGCTTTTTAATAAATTAAACCTTAATTAAAACACTTATTACTCACATTTCTGTTGCTTTATTCAAACAATAGCCCTAATTACTTTGAGTAAATAGTACTTCGTTGTAAAAAGGGTCAAAATAATGCCAACAGCAGGTCCATAATATAGCATCGGATGAAAACCCTGAAACTTTATTCAATCGCTTTATATTTATGTAAAGGTTTTAAAAACAAACCTTTCTCCAGCTGAATCAAGCGCAAGAGCGGCGCAGCCTAATGACGTCACATGCCACGCCAAAATAAAAGTCTTTTGTTTTTAGTTTTTTGCCACCTATTGTTGCAGTCATGACTTGTTCAAATATTTCTCTTCCTAGTTTTCTACTTGACACTTGCTCTCGCTCTCTCTCTCTCTCTCTCTCTCTCTCTCACACACACACACACACACACACACACAATCACACAGATGTTTAGTATTTGAAGTTGATCAAAACCTTTAATCTAAACATTTTAAAACAACTTTAAAAAAACGTCTTTAGAGGTCATTATCACTAAGTGCCTTTGAGACATCAAAATAAAACAAATAAATAAAGTTTAAGACTTTTTAATTTCACCACATAGTTGTCCCAGACAGCACACATACGTTGGGCCGACGTCGGCCGAAGGTCAACACGTCGGCCCCTTTAATTCTAACATCGGTATATGGTCGGCCAAACATACGCATGATCGTTCGGTCGTGTGTTCTATTGTTCCAGCTCAACAAACGTCGGCTCTGCATCGGTTAACGACCAGAGGCCGACGAAGCACTTCATAAGCACTTGATCTCTCATGCCCATGAAAGAATCCGGCAACATATTTGGTTTACAAGTAAGTTTTTGCGTGCATAATAAATTAGACAAACGCGACATGCATCATGTGAACTGCGTCGGTCGGTCCAGCTTTAAATAGCCTACATTAATGCAGTAAAACTGACCAAAATGCCTACAATACATGATTTCAATTCATTAAAATATAAAAAGTTTTATTGTTATGCTTTAATAATGAAAACGTTGTTTTTTTCTGGTGTTAACTGCTGTTTGCTTTTTTTTTTATTGTGGCTTTTTCTAATACATTTTTCCCAGTGTAAAAATCAAGTAGCCTATGTTCTGCATTTCGGCTGTTTAATTAAAATAAACACCTTTTTACAGAGTGACATCTTTGTTTTATATATACTTGCATTTATATTTATTGGTTATTTATTTTTGACAGTGAATCTGATGCACAAATAAAGTGTTTGTTTTGTAACAGTTTAGTAGGCTATAAAGCTCGTCTTAAAGATAATAGCGTATATAAAACTGCTAAATACATTTTAAATTCAAGATATAAAATACAAGGTTATTATTTAAATTGTCTATGAAGTGATCATGTTTATAAATGTAATACTGCAAGACTTTAATGTGCGCGCGCGCGTCTTGCTTCCAACACTGGAGCGGAGGGGATGTTGCTATGGGAAACGAAGCTACAACACGACACGACACCACCTGAAAGACACAACACGACTTCTCTCAAGCTGCCGTTTTGACTGTTTTCAGGTAAGTTTAGTCCCTAAAACAAAGCAAATACTACATAAAACTGTTCCTCACACTTTTATTATTGGCAATTGATGAATATTCAGTTGAATATTATGTTATATAAGAGTGGTAAGTCTTCGTAAAAGTCCGTTAGCATATTAGCACTGGTAACGTTAGCGTCGGGGTAATATTACGTTAACTTACTTAATGTTAGCTCTTGTTAAACTTGTTTGTTAAAGTTTTGGCTTTTATTTATTCTTTATGTGTAGATGAGAGGTTTTGTCAATGTTTTATTGAATGCACTCGATATGTAGTCTAAAATACGCATTGTAACGTTACTGTAAAGGACCGTGAATCAAAAGTTCAATCGTGTTTTGATATTTCATGCATGGTATCTTAAACTAAATGTTAAGTAAAAAAGTGTTCTGTGGTTTCAGGAGTGAGAGAATAACCTCCTGCTACAGAAAATATAACACAAGATTCCTAAATTTCTGAAGGGAGCTGATCACAGAGATACAGGAAAGACAGGTAACTTTAAGCATAGGATTAATTCATATGAATTTCCATTGCACATCATTATGCACATGTTACATGTCTATATATTATGCATCTGTTACTTGTCTTTATTGCAGTTGTTTTAAGAAAGTTTTGACATTGAAACATGTTAGTGGTATTAAATTTCACATCACATGATTCTTCAGAACTTAGTAAATATATAGATTTGCTGCTAATGAAGTAATATTTGTGATTTTCATTTTGTTTAATTTTTTATGATTAATTGATTTATTAAATCTTAGAAAAAAGTTTACACTAAATTATTTGTCATCACATCTGTTTTAGCATTGATAGCAATCCGAAATGTTTCTTGAGCAGCAAATCAGCACCATTTGATAATCACCATTATATTAGTTTAACCTCAAGCACTAAATCAACATCTTAAAAAAAGATTTCTGAAAGATCAAGTGACACTGAAGACTTGAGTAATGATGCTGAAAATTTAGCTTTACATCATAGCTATGAATTACATGTATATTTACACTGTTCACCCATCCCTTACACCTTAACTCATCCTCAAACAAGTCAATTTAAGCCCTAAATGAATAAATTTTGATTTGTACAGGCATGATATGCAACTTGTATTCAGTCGTTTTGTTTTTTCTTTCTTTTGCTTTTGTTTTCCACATCAACTGAAAAGGAGGTCTAAGTTTAACCTAAGTGCCGTGTTGCTGATGAACATCTTTATATGTAAGTATATTTTTGACTGACTGCCAGACACTTGTCAAACAGTGATGAGCAAACGAGGGGCCGTTCTTTTAAAAAGATCAGGGAGATGCAAGTCTGGAGATTAATATACATTTTAATTCAAAATTGATTTATCTGTAAATATTTCATAATGTTTTGAGATATGTGCCCTATATGCATTTAGATGTCCATGCATGTTTAAAATACTTTTAAATTTAACAACGGCTGCAAGTTATAAAAACATAAACAAACACAAAAATGTTAAAGTAAATTGAGAAAACATTTTCATCAGTTTGACAACAGGTAGATCAGCTCCTGACAGACATGTTAACAGATCAGTTTAACTCTTATTAAATTCATTCATTCATTCATTTTCTTTTTCTGCTAGTCCCTTTATTAATCTGGGGTACCACAGCGGAATGAACTGTCAACTTATCCAGCATATGTTTTACGCAGTGGATGCCCTTCCAGCTGCAAGCCATCACTGGGAAACAACCATATACGCTTATTCTCACTTATACACTACAGACAATTTAGCCTACCCAATTCACCTGTACACCATGTCTTTGGACTTGTAGGCAAAACCGGAGCACCCAGAGAAAACCCACGCAAACGCCGGGAGAATTTGCAAACTCCACACAGAAATGCCAGCTGATCCAGCCGAGGCTCGAGTCAGCATCCTTGCTGTAAGGCAACAGCACTATTGTGCCACCACGTCACGCTCTTATTAAATTATATTTATATAATGTTGTGTTTCAGTACATGCTATTTTGGGAAGACAAAATATATTCATAAGCTCTCAGAAAATTCAATAAGAGAATTAACTGCACAATTACTTGAAATGTGTGGATGGGATTACATTATTTGTTAACCCAAAGTGAGTTTCTCTTTCTTTGCAGTATTGGATGCCTGATTGCAGTTCAACTCCAAACTCAGTTGGACCAGCTGATCAGTGTCTTCAGTATTACCACAAGCTACTGGGCAGATGTGTGGACATGACAGCTATGAGCCAAACTTGGGACGTTTGGTTTTTAGGTTATACCAGTGACAAAGTATTCAGTAAATTGCTTATAATAAAAGATGCTCACTGCTTACCCCCTTATAGTTAAGTTGTTTGCAGTTTCGTTGTTGGAAAAATACCATACTTTTTCCTTTTTTTATCAGCAGGTGGAGAGACCGTCTGGGCAGCAGAAACAAGACAACTAATCATAGTTGAGTTGAGATTAGTATTATTAACTTGACTAGTTTGGTTGTAGACTTCTTCAATACTTAACAATTTGTATAAGTTACAAGATCAATGGTCCTGCTATCAATGTTTTTGTAACTTAAATTCATTACAGTTTAGATACAATCAAATGTCCAAACCATCTCTGACTGAATGACATCAAGGAAACAGGATCAAAAGATCATTTATTATAGGCCGTTTCATAGGTAACAGCACATCCTTTGTGAAAAATAATTTATTTTTGTGTCATCATCACAAGACAAAATACATTTCAACTGATTTCAGTTGGTTATATTTTTTAGGTTCTCCTGATCATTCTGTTCTCCTGGTTGTGAGGATGTGCAGAGGCTGTATTTGTCAGTGTTAAAAGACTTGTGCAGGTGTATCCAGACATACAAGCAGCCGACAAAGAGTTCTGGAGCAGGACAGACAGGTAGTTCACAGTGGCTAGGCTAGAAGTTTATACTTGGGTGACCAGAAAGTGGCCTCCGCTATTTTGGGGGGTCCATACAAATACACCAGTGTAAGCGATACTATTGCACAGAAAAAATTAAATGAAAGAATTAATTAATCGGTTGAACACAAAATATTTTAAAGAAAGCTTAAGTATCAAGGTGGCAATATACAGTATGTTACATTGTAGTACATGAGCTGGCTAATACAGACTCGTAAATGTTTAGTTGTTAAGATTAGTTAAATACTAAATCCTATACTTGAGACCGGCTGCATATACAGCTTTAACTAAACTGAATTTAACTAGAACTACACCAGCATTCCCAATGCTCTAGACTAGCTTTTTGCACTGGTGCGTCTAAAATGTTTGATGGCATTGCAATTAACACTGCAATTTTACATGTTAATTTTTTTTTAAATCACAATCCATATAGGCAATATTGACTTGTAAATGATTAACTAAAATCGGGTCAACACACATTATGGGGATTGTGTGTAGAATTATTAGGAAATTAATGAATTTAATCCATTTTGAAATAAGACTGAAACATTAAAAATGTGGAAAAAGTAAGCGCTATCAATACTTTCTGGATGCATTGTATATGGTTTTTAGTGCGTTATCAAAGACTTAAAAAAATAGTCCAACATTATCTACAGCAGCAAAAGACCCTCCACATCAAAAGCTACTGGTCAGCTCACGATTCAGCAAACATCTGAAAAACAAATAGCTTATTATGCCTTCACAAGAAATCAGTGTTTTTGAGTCTAATGAAGATAGTACTATTTTATTAAATTATTGTTTAGCCTGGCATGTTTACTGTTACAAAATATTTTAAATGTTTCTTAAAATAAAACATATTGTGTTCAATGGGGGAAAAGTAGCTGTTTTTTACACAGAGATTAAAAAAACACATTTCAGAGCAGTAATCACAATACTGTGAAACTGTGATATTTTTATCCAAGATTATACCCTCAGAATTTTTTTATTTATTTATTTTTTTCAGTTGTCCTATATTCTGTTTTTCTATGTTCTTGGAAATGCTGCTGTGTATGAAAATGTGACGATATATCCAGGTTCTATAGTTAATTCTGAAATAAATCTTAAAATGAAACAATATTTAAAAATGCAATATTTAATGTGTTAGACACTAAATAAACATGTCAACTCATTTATATTAATCTGATTCCTTAACAGGGCCGCACGGTGGCGCAGAGGGTAGCACGTTTGCCTCACAGCAAGAAGGTTGCTGCTTCAAGCTTCGGCTGGGTCAGTTGGCGTTTCTGTGTGAAGTTTGCATGCTCTCCCCGTGTTGGCGTGGGTTTCCTCCGGGTGCTCCGGTTTTCCCAAGTCCAAAGACATAGGTGAATTGGGTATGCTAAAATTGACCATAGTGTATAAGTGTGTGTGAATGAGTGTGTATTGGTTGCAGCTGGAAGGGCATCCGCTGCGTAAAACATATGCTGGATAAGTTGGCCTTTCATTCCGCTGTGGCGACCCCAGATTAATAAAGGGACTAAGCCCAAAAGAAAATGAATGAATGAATCCTTAACAGTTAAAATTAACCATTTGAGCGTGCTTAGTGTGGGGTATGTTGTGCCATTAAATTGTCAATAGGTTTTATTTTTTTCTACATTTTAAATCTGCTTTAGCTTTCCTCTTTCCTATAAACCTGGAAATATAAAATATATATTTTTTTGGTTTTTAACAAATTGCTTATTTTATTCTTAGATTGGTGTACGCTGATGGTCTGCTGAGAATTCTGCTGAGTTGAAGGGATCCTCCTGTCAGACAACCTCTCCAAAGTACAACAGGACTAGTAAGTAACATCTTAAACATACACTACTGTTTCATAGCTTTTAGGTTGGTATGGTAAATTCCAGGGATGTAACGGTATCAGAATTTCACGGTACGGTAATACCTCGGTATGAATGTCACGGTACGGTATTTATTGAATCATTTACAGGAAAAAACAAAACTTATGAAAATACTCCAAAAAAGTGCCAAAAGTGTCAATGACATACAAATTAGCCATCTATCTGTAAGCTTTGAAACACTAACTTCAATTTTAATAACAAAAAAATATTAAACCATGTAAAAAAAATAAAGTTTCAATTTAGTATTGTTGAAAACTCATCACATTCAACATTTAATCACTCACTCACTTAGATAGAGATGGGTTTAAAGGAAAATTATCATATAAATATAATCTGGTAAAAGCTGGTATCTCTGGGTATTTACAATGTCCCCTGCAACAGAAAAAACCCTCTCATTTGGGACTGAGGTTTCTGGGACAAGAGAGATATGACTTGGCCCAGGTTGACAGCAGTGGGGAACGTTGTGCATTGTCTTTTCCCCACTTGAGAAGACAAACCATGAGTGAGATAGAGGTCTCATGTCTGCATCAATCTGAACAGTGTGCTGTGTTTCTGCAGTCCCCATGACTGATCATTAGTCGTATTCCCCAACTTGCAGGCACGTGCACACATAGGGCTCAACCTGTGCAGTGCACATGCCCTTTTTAGTCTTGGATAGAAAATGCCCTTCCAAAATGATCAAAAGTGCCCCCGCGACGCGACACAACCTCCGTCCAATCCAGCCCTTCAGTAGGCGCGCGACAACACCTCTCTTGAATATGCGCGCTCAACCCCCCCTCGGCGCTTTACAATACGCGCGCCACAACACAGCTGATCAGAACGCGCGGCGACAACACCCGCTTTAGGTTCGATCATTTCCATCTTTTTTTCATCTCCGCTACTAGCAGCACACTCCATTTCCGCATTACTGGATCTGTAGCGACAACAGACCGCAAAGGATTATGGCCACGCCTGGGCTGATGGGAAATGTAGTTTCAGCTACGTCCCGTTCGCTTCATTCGCCTGAGCAAATTTTCTCAGGAGACCTACAGTTTTACCGAGTCATGCGACTTCGGTAATATCGAAAAATTTAATATTGCGGTATGACGGTATTTACAATACCGTTACATCCCTAGTAAATTCTCTTCTGATAGTGTCAACTTTATTTAATTAATACAGTCAAGCAGTAATACTGTGAATTTAATACAATGTATATAATTAATAGTGTCACATGATCCTTCTGAAAAAATAGTATTCCAATGTACTGATTATCTCCTCAAGCTGTTTTTTTTTAAATATAAAACATTTTAAATAAACATATTTTTAGTATTCTTGATGTATGAAAAGTTTATTTTTAAGAGCATAGTATTTATTTGAAAAAAAAAAGCTTGCTCTTTGATGATTGCTAGCAATCAGACATGTTTCTTTAAAACAAAAAGAATTTGTGCAAAAAAGTATTCTCACTGAGCGTTGTCCAACTGTGGTCCAACACGTCATTTAAGTTTTCAAATAAGCCTAAAAGACTTGATTAGCTGCATAAGGTGCATTTAATTAGAGACTTGAATATATCATTTCTTTATATATCCTCCTCTATAGCCTACATATAGTAGAAGTTGTTTGCTGAAAAACCTTTTTGTAGCAGAAATAAAGCTATGATTAGGCTCACCCGGATTTTTCGCAGAACTCCGCAAATGTTTAGCCTATCATTAATTCTGTTTATTTACTTGAGTAAATGTGTGTAAATCTATATTTATTCAGTTTTTTAATTAATTTCAGTAATATTATTGACTAATGTGAAAATGTTCATCTGATTTATGTACAATGCAGTTTGTACAGTAATATTTTCTGTCTTACTAGATATGTTACATGAAAAACTTGCTTTATTTACCAAATAAAGTGAATCTAATTGGATTTGCATTTTAAACATTAAATAAAACTTTAAAATATATTATTTTTTATTTCATATATTAAGGTTTTAGTTATGATACTCCCAAAATAATTCCGCAGAAATCCGCAGACTTCCACCAAAATTTTAAGCAGAAATAGCAAAAAACATCTGCAGATTCCTCCTGGCCCTAGCTATGATATATTAAATGTGGTGTACAGTGTGACATTTTAGTTGACGAAACTTAGTTTAATTTGCATGTAATGTGGTATCTGAAGATTTGACATATATTTAGAGACACATTTATACTAACACAATGATACTAAAAACCAAAAAAAAAACATTCATTATGATTTCACAAGGAATTTAACTTTCAAATGGCTTTTCTGAAAATTAGTGCTCAGACACACTCTTTAAGTTTAAATTAAATTACACGTTTTAGCTAGGCACTTGCATAACACATACTCCAGTTATATGTCATGAAACAAATAATATATATTTGTGGTAATATGAACTGCTCAAATGCTAATCTTTCTCCTTTTGGTTTCTTGCTTTATTTAAGGGTTCCCACTACAAGGATTAGATTTGGCTACTGCAGTCCCGGTTTGGGCCAGCCTCACTTGTGAAGACTAAAGATGAAGACAACATACAAGAACAATTTCGAGGATGGCGACACACTTTTTATTCCACCTATATATCCCCTTTTATGTGTAAGCAACATTCCACAAGATAAAACAAAAGTAAATGACAGGTTATTTCTTTTAATTTTGTCTGTTTTCTTGGAACATTGTACACAATTTACAACCAGTTTTATTTATATAAATATAGGTCAGAGCAAGAAAATGTTATGTTTTCTTCTGGAGAAAGTCTTATTTCTTTTATTTCGGCTAGAATAAAAACAGTTATGAATTTTTTAAAAAACATTTTAAGGTCAATATTATTAGCCCCTTTAAGCAATTTTTTTCGACTGTCTACAGAACAAACCATCGATATACAATAACTTGCCTAATTACCCTAACCTGTCTAGTTAAGCTAATTAACCTAATTAAGCCTTTAAATGTCACTTTAAGCTGTATAGAAGTGTCTTGAAAATATCTAGTCAAATAATATTTACTCAGTTATTAGAAATGAGTTATTAAAACTATTGTGATTAGAAATGTGTTAAAAAATATTTCTGTTAAACAGAAATTAAGGGATTTTATATATATATATATATATATATATATATATATATATATATAGAATGACAAAATCTGTTTTGTGTCGTGCATTAGAGTTTGCTTAAAAAAACTGGTTATCTCTGAGAAAGTATTATTTTATATTATTGGTGTGTTATTAGTTCAGAGGAGATTGCAAATTGTTGAATGCCATTTATTAAAAAAATGTAAAAAAAATTGACTACAGACTTTAATAAAATTTTATCAGACAATTATTTTAATTTGTATGATTTTATTTACTACTGTAAATAATGTTTGCTTGGTATTTATTTTGTGTTTGTGTACTCTTTTTTTTATTGTAACTCCCTGAAGAAAGTCTTTTGGATACTGAACACATGACTGGTATTATCTTGTATTTTAAGATTATAGTCTTGGAAACATGCATTTTCTTTAACACTATTTAAGAAATTATAAGCATTATAACATGTGCTTACACAAGTGATTTGTGTTTTTACCATAGTAAACTATAGTCACCCTTAGTGTACATGTTTTGAAGTACTTGTAAATATTCCTATGGTCTTAATGTAAATGCTGCAATGGACTTTGTATTTAAAATCTTTATTGCACAGTATTTTAGCCATGGTTATAGTACAACTTGTTGGTTTTGTTTTAAACGTAGTAAAACATGGTTATGTGTGATAAAAGTATGTTAATCTATTTGTATGTTTGTGAAAAATATTAATAAATCTTCAACTGTTATTGAGAGTGGTGTGTCGTGTTTATTATAAATAAGCAGCTGCTGCAGCTAGTGGTCCATAAGTATGGAGCAAAACGCCTGAGAACAGCGCCTCCGCGGAGCGGCCGGCATTTCCGGTTGCGTCGTCCTAACATCGGCCGGACAGCGTTTCCGATCATTTGCCGACGTCGCGGCGACATTTTGCCAATTAGCAAACGCTCCCTGAGCGACATCGCGCCGATGGAATTTTGAAAGTCGGCACGACGTCGGCCCAACGTATGTGTGCTGTCTGGGATATATATATATATATACATATCCCCTCAAAAAATCCCTTTTTTAATGAGACCGTTTCTAAATTTATGAATTCATTGGTTACCTAGTTGACTCCAAACACTGTTTGATTTTGCCAGAATCCTTTCCGAGGCGATCCAATACAAGGCTTCTTCTCTCAGAAGGAAAGATTACCTGTAGAATTGTAAACTTGGATTTACCTTCACTGCTACTAAAAATATGGTACAGTATTTCTCTTCAAAGCTTAGTAAATAGATCAAAATATTTGATCTTACTCCCAGTATCCAGTGCCCAGGCTCATGGCCCCATAGCTTCCAACATGAA